ACAGAGCTTTGTTTATAGCTCAGCCCTGTCTCACTTGTGAACGACCTCAGGGCATGCAGAAATAAAGCAGAACCTTCATGTAACTGGAAATCATGGAAAATAAACAATCTGGGGGAAAGCACAGCCCCCACCAAGTGGGTCACAGTTCCACCAGCTATCCATGGTATGTCCCCATGTGTGACCCATGGATGTCATTTGGTATTTCCCACCCAATCAGTCCTTTCCTTGGTGGAAGAAGTCTCTTGCTGCTTAGAAAAGAGTTGGATTTTAACCTGGAAGCCCCTATATAGCTCCTTTATCAGCACTCCCATCTCCTGCACCCTCCCCAGCTGATGGCCAACAAGCCATGTTGGGGATGATGCTTCCCCCAAGAACATCTTCCAGAGCCCACTTTGGTTGTCCCTCTGGTTTGCATTACCCCACCTGCTCTGCACTGTCCATGTGTGACACTGAAGGGGTGAAGACATGCAAGAGGTTGGCCCCACAGCAGCCACACCAAACCTCCCACTGCTGAGTGGCAAAAGGTAAGTGAGGGGGAGAAGAAATATTCCTGACAGTTTTACAGTGGTTTGGCACTGGGCCTTTGGGGTGGAAAACCTTTATCTTCACATTGGTTTTGAAATTATCTGTTTTGGATTAGGAAATGTTATACCTGTGCCTCAAAATTGCAATAATTCCCCCCAGGGGAAGATCTTCCAGCTTGGAAGCACTTTTGTGCTGGCTGTGTCTGGGAGAAAGAGAGTGATAAGAACATGGTGGAGAGGTGGGAGCTCCTTTTTTTCACAGAAAAACTCAGGAACAGCCAATGTGTCACTTTCTGCACTGCATAACTCAGCTGGAGCACTTGGGCCAGCCACCCTCTCCAGCCCAGGGGAGAGAGGAGCACATGGGGAGGGAGATCAGCATCCAGACCCCTCACTGCCATCCCTCAGCACGTTCAGGAGCTGCTCCAAAGCCCCCAGTGCAGGAGAGGCTGGGTTAATTAATGTCTCTCCAGAAAATACAACCCTGGCCCTTAGTCAGAGCTTGTTTTTACCCTCACCTGCCCTGCAGCTTTTAGCTCCTCTGCAGGCAGAGGAAGAAAAGGGACTGGAGACAGATGACGCTGTTCTGTCACTCTGCAGCTCAGACGTGCAGGGATCAGCCCTGTTCTCTCTGCTTTCTGGTTATATCACACTTGTCTAGTCCTGGAAAAACAAACTATTTGGGGCCTTTGCGCATCACACAACACATGATGACAAGCACAGTGTGTGCCATACAAACTAAATCACATTCCACCCTGTAACAGCACCAGTTTAACATATTTTTAAACTAGATTTATGCCCGTGACAGATGTTCCCCTCACCCAAACTCATTTTCTCAAGGAATCCTTAAAATCTGTTTCTCCTTTTGCACGCAGCAGTGTCAGCATTCAACATGACTTTTACCTCCAAAAGACTCCTGCTCTCTGTAAGCAGCACACAAAGGGACTGTTCCCAGAGAACAACATTTAGCCTGCAGGTACTGTCTTAAATGGGCTATTTGACCAGCTGTCGTTTTGTGGAAATAACTGCTTAGAATCAGCAGAGCTCAGCTCCTGATTTCCAATTCCACTGCCAGGCACATGCAGCAACTGCAAAACCTTTCTGGAAGGAAACACAAACAGAGGGAGCAGGACTGATGGACCAAGTATCTTTTGGGAAGTGATTAACCTCTGGTAGGATCAGGCTTCTCATCATGAGCAAACCTGCCTAAGATGGACAAATTAGCATTGTCTATTGTCCCAATTGTTTAATGCAGGGAGCTACAAGGCAAACATTGCTACAGGATCCACTGGTTTTGGTTCTTGTTACTGCCATTAACAAACCAAACAACCCAAAACCCCCAAAAGTAGACAAAGGAAGCACAATATAAAAGATAATATAAAAGAAAATCAGCAAAAATGAGCTCTCTCTTAGAAAACAGGCTGAGAAATGTTTCCTTTTTGCTTCTCCATCTAATGGCCATGTAGTGCAGGAGGATACAGTGTCTAAGAAGCTGTAGCAGATTGGAGTCTGTTGCAGCCTTCAGCTGATGGCAGAATAGGGATTTTCAAATAAAAACATGGAAGGGAAGGAGAGATGCCCTCCACCAGCAGGAGACACTGCCCTTTGCCACTGGATGTGCTTAAATCCCATCAGCATTTGTGGCAATTACACAAGCACAAACCAGAGGACAGGAGAGACACTCCCACCTAATTCCAACCCCAACACAGAGCACAAGCAGGGTCACAGCCACCTCTGCCACTGACATGCCTGCCATTGCACACTGCCCATGGTGACAGCAGAGCACAGCCCAGCACTGTAAGGGCACGTGCCCAGGATTAACAGGGTGTCTCACCTCTTTACTAACCCGTGGGGAATTGGCTTTAAAGCGATTAAATAGAGCCTTTCGGTAAGGCAGAAACCTGGGGTCTTGCAGGAGATTGGGGTCATGTAGATCTTGACCCACACAATGGCTGACCCTGAAATATTACAGGGAGCAACATCTGCTCACGGCAGGCAGCCTTCCTGCCAAAGGCCAGGGATTAGTGCTGCACAGCCCTGAGTTATCTGCATTGCTGACTGTCTCTGGTTAATTAGCAGTTCAGTCGTAGCAGAAACATCACAGCAAAATCCGCTGCCAGGGAGGTACCAGCTTTTAACATGTGCTCTCCAGGTCAGGGACTGTTTGCCCTTCAGCTCCTTGTAAAAAACAGACTGTTTTCAGTGATGCCATAAAACCTTAGATGGATGCGGTGTTAATTATTTCAAAGTGAAAGGTGGAGCAATTCTGCAGCATTGGTAGCTCAAAGGGACTTTGTATGTGGATGCCTGGGAGGTTCTGGCAAAGCAGGACTGGAGGATGCAGGGTGGAGGACATGGGGTGAGCCAGACCCCCAGGCTGTGGCCGGGGGGAGCTCTGGCTGTGGTGTGATCAGCCACAGCAGGGAGTGCAGGGATGGGAAAAGGCAGGCAGCAGGGTGCTGTGCCCTGACATCACTTGACCAAAAACCTGCTCTCTCACAGACCTCATCCAGGTCACCAAATCTCCCTGTACTCAAAACACTGCCAATTAAATGGGATGATAATTGTGTCCTCCATAATTGCAGACATGGCCCTGGGGGAGCTGCCTGTTGAGGCTGCAGTGCCCCTAGCTCAGCTGAGCCAGCTCCCAGAGCAAGGAAAATTATTAGAACCTTGCACATTAATAAAAATATTATCACCTCACTCTGCAGAGGAACTATGAACACTCACTGCAAGCCCCATCACGCTGAGCATCTGCTCCAGAAAGCTGGAACACAGCAAGCCATTAAGGCAGTCATTGCCCCTGAGGAAACTCAGACTCTGGCTCTGTATGGTGGACAGATGCCTTTGGGAGGTCTCCCTCCCAGCATTTTAAAAAGGCGTTTCTAAAATGAAAGGCAGAATGATTTTCACTGTGATATGGAGGCCTTGCCATATTTTCTGTGTCTTGACCTATATCCCCAATAATATGTTACACTTCAGCTCCAAAGCATGCAACAACCTCTCCACTGCTCAGGGATTGCTCATCCAAGCTTGGTGTTGCTCAAGACTCTTTGTACTTATGGGGTTTACACAACAAGTTTTCAGGAACACAAAAGGCTTTGGAAATGTGGAGCTTTGCCTAGGGAAACCCTGTTTTGGAGAGCAATTCCCAATTCTCTTGCCATTTCACATCTATTTTTCCTCTGTGTATATCTGAGACTGTATAAGCAAAGCCCTTCCCAGCTCATTAGCTTCTCCTCTCCCCCACCCACCTCCATTTTTCCTCTTGCTGGATAGGGAGATCCTGGCTGAAACAGAGATCATTTCACATCTTGGCACAGGGCTGGCAGCTTCCCTAAACAAACACACCAAACCCCAGATGAGGAGGCACGGGCATAGCAGAGCAAACCTGTCCACCCAGGCAGGGCAGAGCCCAGAACTGGGATTCTGGGGGGCTCAGCTCCCTGTGGGCTTGGCAATCCTCACCACGCACTGCCAGCAACCTGTGGGGGATCCTCAGGACGAGGCACAAACACCCCACAGGCCCCTCCCTGCCAGCAATAAGGCAGAAGGGCTCCATTTTGCAGGGGGTCAGATGCAGGACCTGCCCAGATCTAAGCAATGACTGGCTGGAACAGAGAAAAGCCAGGGGAGCCACAAAGAAAAAAGCAAGGCAGCTTCTCTGGTGAGCAAACCAGGCTCAGAATTATTACAAAACTACTCTTTTCTGAGCAGTTTTGTGCTGAGGGACGTGGGAGCTGTGGTGGGCGAGCAAGCAGAGCAGGCTGCAGGAAGGACAGAGCCTGCCCAGCGCCAGCTGCAGACCAGAGCCGCACACAGACACGTCTGTGCACACACACACACCCATCCCTGCAGCCACGAGTGAAACCCAAACATGTTTAGGGTGAGAGGACTGAGAAATATGACCCTGGGATGTGCTCGTGAGAAACAAGCTCAGCCTGATGGGACGAGCATCTTGCCTGTCTTTACCCTGCAGTTTCTACCAAGGGGCTGGGGAAGAGGAATTAAAGAGCTGCACATAGAGGGGGAGGAATTTCTTTTAAGTAGTCACGTGCTTGAGGACTGCATAACATTCAAAAGGGGTTAACTGGGCCTATTTCAAGGCATTTAAAAATATTTTCAGCCTGCAAGGGCAGCTGACAGCAGTCCTTAAAGTACTAAAATCTGGAATCTGCCTCTTCGTTAGCAGTTGGCCTTGATTTTCCCCCTCTCTTCACAAAAGGGAGCATTAAAGAGTTTGAAAACATTTGTTTTGATCTGCACAGAAAGGCCAGCCATCTATAAAGCTCTGCATTTGGTAAACAAGAAAGCAAATGGAAAGGAACTGTCAGGCTTGTCAGGACCTGGCAGATAAGCCTGTGTCACTGAGGCTTGGTTACCCTCATATTGGGAAGACACCAGAACACAAGGGATTCAGTTGCATGGAGGGTGTGCCAGGGTGGTCTCAGGGTGGCAGGAGCAGGGGTGACATACCTGTAGCATTGGAGAGTGCCAGGGACTCCATGGAGCCCCGGGGAGTCTGCTCGGTGGGTGTCAGGTCCTCTGTGAACTTGAGGGCATTGATGGGGTGACGGGTGCGGCACTGTGACGCTGGCATCCCACCCTCCTCTTCCTCTTCATACTTGGGGACTTTGACACTTCCTCTGGTCTCTGGGAAGCTCTGGTTGGACATGTCACTGTAGCTCTCCTGCGAGCGGAGCCTCCCTGAGTAGTAGTCCTCTCTGCAGTCCTGGATGAAGCTGCCACCGTGGCTCTTCATGGCCAACGAGGAGCTCCTCTTTTGGTTGCTGAAGTGTTTTGCCCATAAATCCGACTGCGAGCCTGGGACCTGGGTGGGGTTATAGGAGGTTCTTATGTTGCACTGGCTGAGAAGCTGCAAGGGGGTTTGAGACTGGCTTTGCTCCATTTTGCCCCCATAGTGATAGAGCTCATCCCGGCTCCTCCACAAGTGGTCCCTGTTGAGGCTGGGTGTCTGGCTGGCCAGGCTCAGCAGATCCATCTGCAGGGACAGCGGGTCCACGTCGGTGGAGAGGCGGTTGGAGGTGACCTGCAGCTGGTTGCAGGGGCTGCGTGCCCCCTCCTCGCCCTTCCCCTTGTTCTTGCCGATCTTGGCGCTGCGGCGCGATTCCTTGGCTCGCGCGCTCTGGAAAGCCGAGTCGGAAGAGTCGGAGCCGTTGGGGTCATCACCAATGCTGCAGGCCCTGGAGCAGAAGATCTGCCCCTGCTTGGGCAGGAAGGGCCGTCCCAGCAGCGACTTCTTGCACTGGGCGCAACAGAAGCAGGTCTCGGTGGCGTGCCAGTGCTGGCCGTCGTACGTCATCTGGCCCTGGTCAATACCTGGAGGGACAGGATCACAGTGTCAGGGTCATCTAGCACTGCACCATTAACACCTGCATCAAGGCCAGGCAGGGTGGGCTTCTGAGCAATCTGGTCTACTGGAAAGCGTCCCTGCTGGTGGTGGGTGGCTGGAATGAGATGACCTTTAAGGTCCCTTAGGAGTGACATGCACTCAGCCTCACTCTTGAGAGCCCTTTTTCAGGATTTCTCCGATGCATGAAGTTAATCTCATTTTTAATTCCTCCCAATTCTAATTCCAGGCCTTTGCTTGGGAGTTACTCAGTGCTGGGAAAGGCAGCAGAACCATGCCTCAAGCTATTTTGTATTAAACGGGGATATTTCCGATCATAAAGCAAAGGAATGCAAGAAGTTCTCCATAAAGTCCTTGAAGTAAAAGCAATATGCTGCTTATTAAAAAAAAAAAAAAAGCCTCCAGCTAAACCATAATGAGGAATTTGTTCTGCCTTAGTTAAGTATGTAACAGAGCAGATGACAACCCTGTCCCTTGCTGCTACTGTGGTCCCATCCTAACTTTATTTTGGCTTCAAAAGAGCTGGCCCCAGGGGCTGAGCACACATCCTTGCCTTGCACCCAGCCACATTTCCTGGGTTGCTTCACCAGGCCCCACTTGGGTTCAGAAAAAGAATTGACACAGACAGTCCGTCTCCCTCCAGCCAAACCCCTGGGAGCAAGATCTGCACAGTGCTCTCAGTCAGAGCCGTGAGCAAAGCTCCAGAGGTTTCAGTTATGACATTTGCACGCTTGTTTAAGCTGCTGTTCCTGGCCAAAGCCCTTGCTGCCCCTGTTCCCTGAGAAACTGCCAGGCACGGTGTGGGCTGGCTGGCACGGCGGGTGCTACACCACATGTGCACAGCATGTGCCTGCTCACCCGCTGTGGGGCCAAGTGCTGCCAGGTAACTTATAAAAGAACACTGTGTTAATGGTCTGTTTTATTCCAAGCTAAATTAGGTTTAGTATAATAGGTTTTTTCCTCCCCTTATAGTGAGCAAAATGCTTTTATACAGATGGGAGTGCTATATTGTGGGCAAAAGAGAGACAAGATGGTGGGTGGGATTTAATCAGCTCCTTTTCCACTGCCCAAAGCCATCTTGCAGAGGAAGGAGTGCAGCCTCCATACTCCATCCTCACCTACCCAACCCAAGCCTTACAAGGCTTCATCACATGCTTACCTCTGATTTATGTAGCTTGTTGGCACAGTGCTCAGTTTACTACTATGAGAGACTTGCAGCAAAATGGTGGCAGTCCCTCCTTTGCTAGAAATGTGCAAATATCCACCAAACCAGACATTTTACCCTGAAAACCTGACAGTCAGCAGTCTCCAGCGGGCCAGCTGGAGTGAAGGACAGCAGATGGGGGAAGAACAAGAGAAGGGACCATGCAAAAAAAAACATTATCAGCTGCTTTTTCACCTTTCTGCAGCTGAGCTTTTGGGAAGGATGTGCTGCAGGTCACAGTAGATGCATCTTCCAAGTGCTTCACTGAAAACCCTGTGTTTCCCCTCCCTGTGCCATCTGGCTGCTGCACAGCAGGAAAATGTTTGGTTTTTTTTTCTTCTGCAGCATATTAAGTATTTGAACAGCTCACCTCCATGGACAAAGGAAGGACTGTCTGTGTGCTTACTGTGCTCAGCCAAGTGGCAAAGGGAGCTGGGGAGAGCAGCAAGGGGCTTCCCAGCCCACCCAGCTTGGGGACATCTAGCCCCCTGACTGAAGTGCATTTTAAATCACTGTTCTAGAAACACAAATTGACCCTGATGCATTATTTCTTTCTCTCTGAGAACATCTATCTGCAAGTTGATTGAAAAAGGCCCAGAAACAATAATGATGCCTAATGAACAAGCATCTTTTCTGACAGTAGCTCATCAAATCATGTGATCCTTTGCCAAGCTTGGATGGGAAAAATCTGAGTCAAAGAGCCAGGCTGTTTACAGGAAAATGAGATTTAAAGGGAAAAAAATGTGCCAGAGAAATTTTATTATGCCAGAGAAAGCTTCCACTAGCTGCCATTGCTCCTGAAGTTGCCCTCTGATAATCCTCACCTCTCTGACTACAAAAAGGAATAAACAGCAGTTTAACCAAATAAATCATCCTTGGTGGGATGGGAGAGAGGCATAAACACATTTGGTTGCCCCAGCCATGCACAGTCCTGCCCGCAGCCCCACGGTGCTGTCAAGAACTCAACGCAACAGCTCCTGTCAGCAGCAAGCCCCAGCGGGCCGTGCCCGCGCGCGTACCGATGTGCTGGGCGCAGGTGTCGCAGTACTCGGCGTACAGGGACTCGAAGCAGCTGCAGCAGTAGGGCCTCCCGTCCTTCATGATGTAGCGCTGGCCCCCCAGAACCGTCTCGCACTCGAAGCAGCAGAAATGCTTCATGTGCCAGTGCCGCCCTTCGGCCTCGGTGCACTCGTCGGCAAAAATGATCTGCGGGAAGAAACACAAGCGTGGTCAGGAGCTGGTCGGAAAAGGGACCCGGGATGCAGACACCAACCTTTGTGTCTCCTGCCCTGCATGGCAGCTGGGCCCCTTTGTTGATGCAGCCTCCAAATTTTACAGCTCACTCCTCCAGTCCTGCATGGGAAACTCCCATAGTTTGGTTTGTGGCAGGGGCACCCATCATTTCTTAGGAAAATCCATTAAAATGCAAATTCCTCAGAAGCGTGTTAGTGCCCAGACTACAAAGTGTTAAGGCAGAGCTGCAGGAATGTGCTCGTGAGCTCACCCATCAAACAGAGAGGTCGATCAGGGTAATAAACACACTTATATACAACCTATCGATCTGGTGGACTTCTGAAGAACAGAGCAGCTGCTTACTGGAACGCATTTACTCATCTCTGAAACAGGGACCGGACCACAAAGGATGAGCAAAAACACAAGGAAAAGTGGAAGCTCTCTAGAAAGAAGAAAATATGGTGGAACCTTGGCTCCTCATCTTGCTGCTACCCCAGCCTGGCTGACTGTAAAGGTGATTGCAGTCATTATACCAGTGGGGAAACCGAGGCACAGAGCACTGTTAAGGATGAGCTGAAGAAGCAGCCATCTAAAATGTCTTCAGCAAATACTTTCTTGCTGTGTCTTCTTCTCATCCCTACCCCATTTCAACTCCCAAAGCCAAGGGAGCCAGCAGACCCAGATCTGCTCCCTGGTTCTCTATGCTGGCACAGAGTACACCAAAAGCTTTTCCCTTGCAGATCCTCCTACCCCTGAATTACTGCTTCTCACAATTAGTACTTGATGTTTTAGGGGAAGAAAAGCATGCTGAAGAATGAGCTGAATGAAAGAATTAAATAAGAATTTGCAGGGATAAAAAATACATGAAAAAAAAAAACTACCCAGCCTAAGCTACAAAGAAATAGAGCCGGTTGAATGGTTAGGGCTGTCTTTCACTGGTAACACTACAAATTTAATTGGACACATACATCAATGCTCTTTATATTTGAAGTGCATATAGCCTTGGATATTTACTATTACATGCTTACAAGGATGGGACATGGTATTTTACAGTATATATGGTTTTCCACACTATGGTTTTCATAACTTTAAAAACCAGAGCAATTTCCTTCACCAGCCTTTTAAACAGAGATTGACAACTGAGAAGTGCTCAGAGGCGACTCTGTATGGTTTTCTATCTCAGTTTTGTATTCTATTTGTTCAGCTTCCTATAGCCTGTTAATCGCCTCTCTCAAAGCCTATTTCAGCTCGGCGTGTACTGAGACATGACTGACTTGTAAGAAATACAGCACTCATCCCACCAGGGGCTTCTTCTGGGGCAATGGAGGAGAAGGGAGGATCACCACACTCAGCTGGGCTAAAATCACAAAGACAGGGGGCTGTGCTTCTACTTAAAACACTCATGGAAACCCCCCAGCTTCCTGTGTGTAGATGAGGCCCTAACTCGTAACAGTCCTAGGCAGACTGCAACCAAGAATATTTGAAACCTCAGGAAAAGCTTGCTCGAATCCTTGGCAAAACCAAGCCACCAGTTTGGTGTGTATGACTCCATGAAAAAGTCAGGGATGGAGGGGAAACGCCACCCAACCCTCTGTGCCACCCAGCAGGCGGCAGCTCATGGCAGATGCTGTCTCTTACCTCATCGCATGCGGCGCAGCGGGGCTTGAGGCACTCGGCGTGGTGCCTGCCACAGTAGATCTTCCCATCCTGGTAGAAGTAGATCAGGTCGACCAGCAGCTCGTTGCAGACACTGCAGATGAAGCAGGGAGGGTGCCAGCAGACGCCGTGCCCCGCGCGTGAGGCGAAGACGGCCATGTCCCCTCCATTGATCTGGCCGCCGCACTGCCAGAAAAGCCAGGGATTAACGGAGGCGTGTGGGTGACCCCACTGCCACCCATCACCAACAGGATGCTCTCACAATCACTGCCCTGCACAATGCCAGGAGCTGAACTGACAACTCCATGTCAAATATCCTGAAAGGTGCCCTGACACACTCCAGCACTCACACCTGGCAGGGCCACAGGCAGATGCTTGTTTCGTGATTGTGAAATGGTGTCGCTTGGAAGGGACCTGAAGATCATCCAGTTCCAATCCCCATGCCATGGGCAGGGACACCTTCTACCACTCCAGGTTCCTCAAAGCCTCATCCAATCTGGCCTGAACACTTTCAGGGATGAAGTAGCTGCAGCTTCCCTAGGCAACCTGTGCCATTGCCTCAACACCCTCACAGGAAAGGATTTATTTCTAATATCCAATCTAAACATGCCCTTTGTCAGTTTAAAGCCATTCCCTCTATCAATATATGCCCTTGTAAAAAGTCCCTGTTCTGCTCTCATGTAGTCCTTTTAGGTACTGGAAAGCACCCCAGAAACTTCTATTCTCCAGGGTGAACAGCCCCAACTCTCTCAGCCTGTCTTCAGAGGAGATGTGCTTCACTTAACTTGGGTGATGCTGGTACCAGTTCATCAGCCACTACCTACCTGCTCACAGATGGCTCCTGTCATGGTTACAGGGAATGGCCGGACATTGCCTCTCCCTAAATTTTCTCTCTTCCTCTGGTTGCTGAAGAGTTTGAGCTCCCTCTTCTCTTCCTCATCCAGTGAATTGCAATAGCGAACCTAAAAACCACAAGTGATGCTCAGTGCCTGGGGTGTCCCTGGCTCGCTGCCCTGTGAGGCAGGGATGTTCCATGGGTCCTGCAAACCTCTGCCCTTGGCTGCGGGGAGGCTGGAGAAACCATGGGCTTCAGATATCTGGGGCTTGGTCAGAATTTCAAGAGGTTGAGATGAGAAAAAAGGGCAGGAGGATTGTTGCTCTTTGGGTGCTCAATTTGTAGAAAAGTCTTAAAAGCTGGGTTCTCAGAGACCCACCCAGAGACCAGCAACTGGACCGATGGGTTTTCCTGCTTTCTCCATCAGCCTCCTGTGGCAGAGGTCTTCATAATATTCCACTGGCATTTCTAGAGCACAGACCCTTTTCTCTGCACGAAAGACAGAGTTCCAGTGACTTGTGAACTATTCTTCCAGCACAGGATCAAGCCTGCTCATTTGCAAAACCTCTGCATTGCAAGGTAATAAGGAAATAAGTAAAATAAAAGGATACAAACAATGAATGATGCAATTTCCCTGAAGCTTATAAAACTCTGAGGTTTTCCTGGCTATTTCCATCCTGCAGGCTTAGCCCTTGGCTGGTTGCATTTCAATGGGGAATACAACTGAAGAGCCAGGGAGGTCAAATGTAGCACCAGTGCCCAATCCACCCTCCGTTACTTGGGAGAGCAGGCTCATGGAGCTGAGCAGGGTTATTCACATGAGCAAGCACACACCTTGAATGTTAAAAGGAGGAAAACTGGGCAAGAAGGGAAACTGATGCAAAATCTGCCAATTTGCAGAAAATACACACAGACCTACAAGTCCAACTTGCAGGAAAACAGGCTGCAGTACCAGCATTTGTGTGTATTTATTCTTATGTTTTTTGGCTGTCAGAGGCTGTGGGTTTCCAGCAGCTGCCAGGGAAGCAGGCAGGCAGGTTGGGACCCAAGGGTGTACAGGAAGAAGTCCCTTCTTTGTGCCTGGAGCTCCCCCCATGCTGACAGTGCTGTGCCCATGGCACCCAGCCACACGCAGGCAAACTTGTTAAAATCTGACTGAGATCAAACAAGTTACCTGCATGTATTTCCCAGAGTGGCTTCTTCAGAAAGTAGCATGAAAATATTTTTTTTTTTGTTTACACAGGGAAATTTTGTGGGTTACCAGAAGCCATTGTTCTCACTGGTGAGATCAGGACGTCAAAGACCAGACCCTTTTTGCTGCCTCACGTCATTCCTGTGAGATGCAAGAAGGTTTATTTTGCTCTGACTGGTTTTGACTCAACCTGTGGCCTCTCAGGCTCTCCCAGCTCGCGAGGCTCAGCCCAGAAAGCCCCTCCTTAGCACACTCACTCCCACTCCAAGGTGAGTCGGAAGCAGCACCTGGGAAAAGGCTTTTGCAACTTTGGATCTGTCTCTAGATAATCTCAACAGCATTCCAAGCCACTTTTAACGGGGCCCTGGCCTCCAAGGGCTGAGGAAACGCTTTTATTTCAGACAACTGAAGAAAGACGACTTAAAAAAAATTTAACTTTAGAAACAAACAACTCCCCACCTCCAACAATCAAAGCAGGAAGCAAATACAGCAACTTAAATAGCAACATGACTGAAATTCAAGTATATCCCCGTGAAAAACAAAAGGAGTTAAGAAAGGAAAGCCACGCTTCCCACAAGCAACCCCAGGAGGAGCGTCTGTTCCCCACCCGCAGCCCTGCCGATGTCCAAGGACATTTTCTGGATACTGACCTCATTGTCATGTGGTGGCAGCTGGTGAAGAAGTTGCTTTATGCGAGATTTTTCTCCCGGGCTGTTGACATAGGGAACCTTGTCCTCGGGCAGGCAGCTGTAGTACTGGTGCACCTACGGAACAAAAGAGGGGACTGCAGTGGGGTTCCCTGGCCGAGCCCATGCCCCTGTGCCCGGCCAGCAGCCACCCCCCCGAGGCAGCAAGCACTGGGTCTTCCCCAAGATTCTGAGCAGAGAAACACTGCCAGGAGCTGCTTCAGGTTTGTTTTCTTTTGTCCTCCAAGGCAGGGGGGTGGCAGCCCCGGCGAGGTGGGCACGTTACCGTTTGCTCTGTCAGCCTCCATAGCGTGAGCATTGCGCCGGCTGCGGGGATGTGTCGGCACCTGCCTCGGCAGGGAGGTTAAAAAGGCTGCGCCCCAGCAGTCTCCGTGTTGCCGGCTATCTCAGCCTCCACCTCCATCAAACCCCTGCGGGCTTTTTTCTGCAGCAATTTGTGGAAATAAACAGCAGATAAAATCTGTTGGAAGGCTTAGTTTTTCTCTTTCGTCTCAGAGCGTGTAATTAAAATCAGCTATTAAAAAGGCTGAGGAACAGCGTGCCCGACGCTGGGAGCGCAGTGCAGCCCGGAGAGGAAGCACACCCTGAACCCCAGCATCTCTCCTCCGACTGCCACACCTGGGATGTGCACTCAAGGGCCGGGCCAGCATCGGGAGGGGACTTGCTGGCTGAGGATCCGCTCCAGAATGGCCACAGTGACACTGAACAGCTTGGGAAGAACCAGGAGAAGGTAAAGGTAAGCTCAGCTGGGATTGGGATTCACTGCAGCCCCAGATGTCTCTGGATGCTTGGGCAGAAGCAGAGGGCTGGCTGGCTTCCTTAAATCTGCTCCTGGCTGGAGAGATGCAGGCTGTTCTCCCAGTGTGCACAGCTCTCTGCCTTTGCCATGGTGGGATTAGCCCCGAGATGCTCCCTCAGCTATCAGCAATTCATTCTGGAGTGGCTGCACTGCCTGCAGCTTTCACAGGGCTTTTCCCAAATAACACTTCATTTGCAGTGGTTTCTGATCAGCTTTGTCCCTTGCTGTATGCTTTGGACTTTGGCCTAGAAAGCACCACCTGGGCCAGCTCTCTCCAGAGAAGCCCCCCCTGCCTGCACAGCCCCACAGCATCTGCAGATCACAGGGTGCTGGGGGCCACTGGGAGGAGTGGGGACACGGACTGGGTCACACAGGGCTGGCTGGCAGAGGAGCTCACCCATGGGCTGGGAGGCTGATGGGGGTGGCTCACACACAGTTACCTTCTACAAAAAGGAATACGCTTTTATTCCAAAATAACTATCCAAATCTAGCTTTATTCAGGAATAATTGCTCTGCATTCATCTCACTCCCTGCTCTCATTCAGAACTACCTGAGAGCAAGAGCTGCTCCACTGATTTTCTCAATTTATGGTTCCTCCCAAACTGATGTCACCATCCACCTTTCCCCATCATCAGGCTTTCCAGAAAGGGAGATTTTAGCAGATTTCCACAGGCAGGTCTGCAGTGCTGATGACAGGGGAACTGCTTGTGTTGCAAAGCTGAGGAACATGCTGAGCATATGCCACTGCAAAACCCTAAATTTGTTTTGCTAAGGCGCAGCAGAAACAGACCCACCAGCTATGGAAACTGTCAAAGAAAGAATGGCTGCGAAATATTTTGTTATGTTAAAAAGAAAACAAACTACATACATTAGAATACTTACTTTGCATTTATAGAGCATCCTTCATCCAGGAACATCAAAGCACATTAAAAACTAAAATTCTTATGACATGCTACACAAGGTAGCAAATATACACATTGCAAAGGACTAATTGTAGCATCATGACGTTAAATGAGTTCCCTAAGTTCATGCAGCAAGTCTGCAGCAGTGTTTGCAGTTGAAAATCTCCCTGCAATGCCCTGGCTGCCACACCAGACCCTTTCCTGGGCTGCCAGGCTCCCACACGGCCACGCTGTGCGTGCCCAGCCAGCACACACTCCTGTGGCTTCTCCTGCCAAATTCCCCACGTGCAGAGAGGCTGTTCACTGTGCCCTGTGCTCACATTGGTTAGCTTGTGTTTTGATTTCTTGCAATGTTTTGATTTCTTGCAAAAGCAATGAAGCTTTTTTGCCCACCCAGTCCTTTAAGTTGGTGGAGACCATAAATTACTTTTTTTTTTTAAGAGCTGCCAAATTACTACAGCAACGAGCCCCAAGACGCTCACCCTGGGCAAAAACCAAGGATGGGAGCTCTTCCTTCAGCTGCCTGGGTGCTGCCTTCCCGGAGCACAATCCAGCAGGACGTACGTGCCCAGCTCCGCTCCTGCTTCCGCTGGGAAGTTTTCCATTTACTCCCAGCAGGACTGCAGGAACTGGTTCCCATCACACCAGCAAACATAGCTTGGCAGGGATGGGCAATTTGGTTTGAGAGGCAAAACAAAATAAATACAACAGGCTCCAACCTGTGCTCTGTTGCCTGAAATAACCTGAAAGGGTTTGTTTTGGATCTGCATCAGCTACAGGGACCTTCTAGAGGAGTGCTCATGGAGAGGATGGAGCAGAGGCAGCCGCCAATCCTTGTCCAGTACCTGTGGAACATCTCATGGGGAGAAAATCCTTATGCCTGCCAACAGCTTTCTGCAGCCACCAGCCCATTCTGGGGGAAGTCTTGAACCAGAGGGATGCACAGATCCTTTCACCCAGGACATCACTTCTATCCCAAGAGATCCATCCAGAGGGCAAACGACGAGCAGAAGGACACTCCTTGCCCAGGCTGACATTACGCCACTCCTGTGCATATAACTCTCTCTCATCCATCACCCTGATCCCATGCATGAACCCAGCTCCTTGGATGGGAGGGACTGGGTCCAAGACTGGGAGGGACAGGGTCACAGGCTGCCAGCCTTCCTGCCTCTGTGCCCAGCTGGCTGCTGACAGCATTTCTGACCTGGCATGGGAGCAGCTGGCAGCTGGGCTGGCACAGGTCTGTGTGATGCTCAAAAATATAGAAGGAAAAGGGGATTCTTAGATCAACCTGGCTTTTCAGGGAAAAAGCCTGCAGAAAGTGTTGACTTGCTGGGAAACTAAAACTGCTCAGTCTGCACTTTGCTTTTGTACAAAAGGTCACTGTTTTATGGAACAGTAACTCCTCCTCCATCCAGCTCTGTGTTGCAGCATGCACAAGCCTTGTAGCTGGTGAGCCTTGCAGGGCCAGGGCCAGACCCCCCACATGCCTGCTGATGGCTCCTCACTGCCCTTACAGGCTCTGCCACAGGAGTTCACCCAGATAAGGGTAACAGTGCGGGCAATGACCCCGGAGAGATAACATTTCCTCTTTAAACTATGCAGTATCTGTAACTGTTTTATTATTAAATACTTCTGCTGTACAACCCAGCAGCTCTGCATCCTCCTACTTCCCCTCACAACAGATCCGCTCTGCCCGTGGTTATCCCAACAAGCATCATTAACACACAGGAGCCCCTTGTGGGGCTGGACTAGGTTTCATCCTCAGTTTTCCCATTTGTCCCACTTCACTCTGACTTCTGCTCACATCTGCATGAGATAAATCCCAAAAGAGACTGGAAAACATCACCCTGAGTTAAAATAAAGCTTCACACAACATCTCAAGGTTGCAGATGCTATGGGCATGGTCTGGCACTGGACACAGGGACAGCTGTGGGTGCTAGGCTGTAGGTGCCATGGGATGCTGGCAGGCTGGGCAAGCTTCATCCTGCCCCAGAGAAGTCCCACTTGGACAGGCTCCATGCTACCAGAACCTGGCACAGCAGATTCACAAGGTATTATTCTCACCTTCACAAGGAAAATGTCCAAACAACAAGTTTTGCTAACAAAAACTGATATATTTTGGAAATTAACAGCTGCTTGATGCTAAAAGGGAGGAGGGGAAAAGGGGGAGGTAGAAATTAAAAAAGTAACAAACCAGGAGAAAGGAAAGAACATAATGTAAAGACAGGGTAGGAAAAAACCTTTAAACTGGAGCCAACTTTATTCAAAGGCACTGAGGAGAGTAATTACATTAGTTTACAAATGCCTTTGTGCTCTGTGGTCTTCTTAGGAGTATGTTTCCAGTTTAACTTTGACAGTTTACAAACCTACCCTGGCCCTGCTAAATAAAGGCAGGACTACAGCATGTCCTGACGGTCCCAGGGTGACCAAAGACAAAACCCACATGAGCATATCTGTGAGCAAAGCCTTACACCTCCTAGAAGGAAAAGTTTGCAAACATCCTGTAAATTCAAGCTATTGGTGAAGGATCTCTTTGATCAATGAATTCAAGGAGGTGGAGGGGAAATATCATATTTCTTAGGCCACAAATTGCTGTTGGGAAGTAGCATTTGGTCGTACTCGCCCTGAGCACAACACCCCTTCCTAAAGCACCCACCAAACCGGGCTGTTTGGGATGACTGCATGGCTGGGATGGACTACAAAGGAGCTCACAGTGTCCTGGCATGGGTGCTGACTTGCTCAGCCCTCACAGCTCCAGCTGGGCAATCCCGCCTGGCTCTCCTGAAACCAAACCAACTGCAAAACCAACTGCAAGGCTTTTCAAAGAGCCCTGTGAGAGCAGGACGTGCTGGCCTATGCACAGTAGCATGCCTGAACGCAGATGTCCTCAAAAAGGGGGACCTCGGTGAGTCAGCCAGCACTCAGGAACAGTGCAGTAAAGCATCACAAAACACAGCATTCCCCAGTGTCCCCCCCATACCCAGGACAGCATCATTTCCCCTGGGAACGTGCCAGGGTACCACAGCCCTGGCAGCCCATTCCATGACAGCCAGGGATGTCCCGTGGCAGCACAGGGAGCTGGTGGCACATTGATGTGTGTGTGCTCAATTGTGGCCCCTTCTCCTGGCTCACTGCTGCGTGCAAACTCCCACGGGATCTGGCTGCTGAGGGAAGAAGGCAGCCAGTGGCTCTGACAAGCCTGTGCTGGCCTGGGCGAGCAGGGCTGCTCCCGTGGCTTGCCTGCTCCTCCCCAGTGCCAGCTTCTGAACAGCACACGTCAGGCTTTAATGATCCTTTACACTGAGCACTTAAAATTGACCGAGAAACAAACCTGATGCTTTTGTATGTCTTTT